TGGTGGGTGAGAAGAATGGAGATGAGAAGAAGATGGTGGGTGAGAAGGATGGAGATGAGAAGAAGATGGTGGGTGAGAAGAATGGAGATGAGAACAAGGAGGGTGCAAACCGAAAGGGTGAAGCTCCTCCATTCCCACCACTCCCGCCCATGCCCCCACCACCCCCCATCCCACCGCCAGCTGACATGACGCCGCCGCCATCTGCAGTGCCGACGCCACCGCCGCCAGTGCAGCCGACCAAGAAGCTATCGGAGCTTGTGAAGCCACCAGTGAAGGCATCCGGCCGGCCAAAAGAAAAGAAGATGCCCAAGCCGCCATACCCGCCACCCCCAGCCCCGGCAGCGAAGCTCATCAAGGCGCACCCAAAACCAAAATGGAGGTCCAATGAGTGGGAACGTATCATCAAGGTCGATGATGATGAGCAGACTGATGACGCATGGGGGGCGTGGAAGGGAGATGACACCAAGATCGACAAAAGCTGGACCATGCCGTCCTGGGGCCATGGTGGCTGGGGCACTCATGGGTGGCATGACCATGCGGTCAATCCAGGATGGGGCGCTGCCGATGCTGGTGGATGGGGCCCTGGCGCTGGCTCATCGACAGATGGCCAGCAGTGGCAGCACGCCATGATGACGGCTGAGGGCCAGGGTTGGAGCAAGATTCTGAGCTTGTCTTCAAGTATACATAGTAATTTGCTATTGGTTGTCTTGTTAGATACCTCTCAGTCCAAGATCCAATTTTCAATTCTGTTGTCATCAAGAAAGGTTTTGTTTTTACATCAATGGCCCTTGGGCAATAATCAATTACACAATGTCTAGCCTTTTAGTTTGCCATAGTCCAGCATACATGCACCCATGGACCCGCCCGTTTCCCAGGAATGCATCGATGAGCTGGGGCATGGAGAGGAACAATGACAGCTGCACCATCACGACCGTGGCCAAGGCAGAATGCATGCAGATCGAGAAGTTCCTTGGTAAAACTTAGACCCTCAGTACTATAGAGTAGAACCATTGCAATGGATAAAATTGGACCCGCAGGTCTCAGAAACTATATGTTGCAGGCGGGCCTTGCTCGCTGCACTGCTTTTGCGGGCAATGCTCGCAGGCAATGACAAAGTGGTCACCACATTGAAATACTTTTATTTCAGCATCCCACCATATTCACCGCTTACCTTCACTGATTGGCAATCCCTAAAATTTCATTGAATATACTTCAATTGTTTTCAAGTCATTGTGTATCCATACAGCTGTTTGTTAACCTAACGTTTCCTTGAATATATTTCATTTGCCCAAGTCATTGCAAAACCATATAGCTGTTTAGTACCATGTGGAAACACCAAGGCCGAAGCGCGTGCGAGATGCTTCCAACCGACGCCGTGGAGGCTACAAATATCAGAAGCAGCTGCAGAACCGGATGCGTGAGCAGGAAAGGATTGAGCAAGCCGACCAGATCAGCCAGGCTCTGAACATCATGGGGAGCCTGGCGCGATCCTTGGAGACTGTCTTGGATGAGTGATGCCATGGATGGTAGCTAACATGAATTGAAAGGACGATCTACAAAGTGAACTTGTATTTGTTGGTTTGCCAGCGGCAGCTCAATCCAATGGCGTGAGTCCAAACGGCTTGGATCCATGCACCACCTATGAGTGCTGCCTGCATCGGGCGATGGACACTGGGGCAGGGCAAACACTTAAACAACACACAAGATTGCAACACAACATATAGGGCCTCATCATTATAGATTCATGACCTTGATGGCCAATTGTGTTGATTGAATCGACCTCTTTCTTTGGTGTCTATATGCCTGCATGGTGTGTTTCAGTTGCAAGGCACAGGTATGGCACGCCTGGCACGCCACCGCGATGGACTTATAATGACTTATAATGACTTCACTTGGAATGCATTGTGACCTTTGCGTGGTCGGCGGCCATTTTTTTTTGACGCCTGAGAAATACGATGCATGGGAGCCCACTCACGAGTTTCCAGTTTATGCATTGTGTCAAGGAAAACCTTTTGAACCAATTGGCATAAACCGGTCTGTGATTCCATTAAAGAATGCTATTTGTGTGTTTTGCTTTTAGCTCGTGGTGGTAATGGTAGGTTTCCATGCAGTGTTCAAGCCATTGCAAGAACAATGACAATATATAGAGGAACCATACTTGTTTCCAGGATGTCAAGCAACATGTGGATGTATGATTTAATTCTTTGATGGTTGGCTTGAACGTGGAATTCCAAGTACAGAGGCTCTACCATGGCATGAATACTATATTTGTATGTGGCAGGTGTTCGAACAAAGTGTTGTCATTCAATTTTGAAATGTTACATTGTCATACCAACATGTCATACTAACATTGTCATTCCATTTTGCCGTGGAAGCCTATACAGTGGCAGATTTCCTCCGCAAACATCACTGCGTGAGCAAAAACAAAGGGGATATCAGGACTTGAGCGCTGGGTGGGAGATTCATGGGTGGATCACGTTGGACTTTGGACCGGTTTTGGAAATTTCTCTAAGTACAAAAGTACACTGGACACTGCAACCCTAAACCCTAAATGGATGCCAAACAATGATGATCTAACATGTTGAAAAACTGATGACTGTTGTTCTGTTTTTTCTAGGTGGCAAATCATGAAGATTCAGGTTTGTTCCGTTTTGAAGCTTCAAGTTCACAAAAGGTGCCGGAAAAAATTGGCGAGAGTTACCCCCTCCTTATAGTTGCGATTTGGTTCAACAAAAATTGTATATTTGCACAATTGTGCAATCACAAAATGGCAAGTTGCCAAAGTGTGCATTGCACAAAGTGGCACAGTGCCCTTTTGTGATTGCACAATTGGCCACAGGCGTCAATCTTGCACAATTGTGCAATCACAAAATGGCAAGTTGCCGAATTGTGCAATCACAAAATTGCACATTGCCAATTTGTGATTGCACAAGTTTGTGTTTAGTATGTGTGGCCAAGTATGTAGAAGCATTTTGAAGTATAGACATCAGCTACATCTATTTGAAGGTTATGGATGCTCATATCAATTGTCATGGTTGCTCCATAGATAGAGTCTTGAGAATCACTCCAACAACCATTTCTACCAATGTAGTTCCATGAGTTTGGATGGTCCAGCCTAATTTCCACACATGATGTCGCTTCAACACACCCGAGCAGCCCCTGCTGCAGGACTATGTGCATCACCATCTTCAATTGCAGGTGGGCAGTATATTCAACGCACCCCATCGGCCCGGGCTTTTGATTTTGTATGGCCCAACCCAATTCCCACACATGATGTCGGTTCAACGCAGACCG